CGAGACCTGATAACCAAATCCAGCCTCCAGGGAAACATGTATTCATATCTTGCTCACACATCAGACATAGTTAACAACTGCATGCTAAGCAAAGCAATTAAATTCAGCTGTGTTTCAACAGGTCCCATTGGATTTCTTTCCAGAAAGGACAATTAGTAAACCACAAGAACTCACGGGGTGTGACCAACAGCGAGGTGCCTTTGCCGAAGTTCAGTGCATACCCGGAGTTTGAGTTCCACAGTGTGTTCTCCCTAAACAAAAAACCCCTTGCAGTAGCCACCCTGTCCCTTCTCCTATGATTCCTATTAAAGCTAATGTCTGGAAACCAATCACACAGCAGTCACACAGACTGTGGATCATCCATGGGCCCTTGATGGTGTAAATAAAGCTTCCCTCTTCCATGGGACCATTGCTGACAAGGTCACCACTCCCCACAGTGATGTGGGTGATCAATATTGAGATCTGCCACCTGAGGGAGGGGGCCCTGTGACATGTTATGAAGTCTGGGGATTTCCTATGTCCAGCAGAAGGACGTGCTGGTCCGGACTGGAAACAGCCAGGGGCATGGACAGGAGCAATTCTGTGGGGTTCAAGGGTGAAGGTGGAGGGAAGATATAACAGACAAAGGAGTTGGCAAGTCTCTTCTCACTCACTCTGCATTGTACCTTAGCTGCACTTACTGCTTTTGCTTTTACTTCCCCAATGTTCTAACAAGTTAAGGGTATAGGATGTTAAGCAAGTTTCCTTAATGTGTTTCCAAAACAGTCATTGGAAGGTCATTCTAGCCCACTTCATCACATTTACACATAACACATATCACTCTGGAAAAGTTATCCAAGTATTCAGGACTCTCTGTTCTCTCTTTGAGAGCCCTTTCATTCTGTTGCCCAGAGTGACAAAGTCCTGATGATAAATCAGGACTTTGAATCCCCAACACTTACTTGGTTTAACAGAGAGTTTAGTGCCTTTTCCAAAGATGAGATTTCCTTGGCTTCCTCCATAATTCACACAGTTCTATGGGGCTTTACAATAATCAACAGGTGGGAAGGATGGAGGGGGAGACTGAGAAAGTGAGATCATCTTCCCCTCTAGTGGAAGTCTCCCCACCTTGCAGCCTCTGTTCCCAGTTCCTTTACAAGGTCAGGACAGTTCTCTAAAATTAACAGCTGGCTGTGCAGATAGATCTGAACTTGATCTTAAATCCCCTGTTTTCTTCCTAGAACACTGGGTTCTGACAGAATGCTTGTGCCAGAGGCACATAAGGACAATAGCACCCAGCACAGGAGGTCAACATCGGGGGCCCAGTGGCTATTTTAGGGACCAGGAGCACCATGCCACTTTCTCAGCCATAGTTGTTTATTTTATTTTATTTTATTTTATTTTATTTTATTTTTTTTGAGATGGAATCTCGCTCTGTTGCCAGGCTGGAGTGCAGTGGCACGATCTTGGCTCATGGCAATCTCTGCTTTCTGGGTTCAAGTGATTCTCCTGCCTCAGCCTCCTGAGTAGCTGGGACTACAGGTGCCCAACACCACACCCAGCTAATTTTTTGTATTTTTAGTAGAGATGGGGTTTCACCATGTTGGCCAGGATGGTCTCCATCTCTTGACCTCATGATCTGCCCGCTTCAGCCTCCCAAAGTGCTGGGATTACAGGAGTGAGCCACCTCGCCTGGCTTATATTTAGCATTTTTATATATCCAGAGCCAATGACGAAACCAGTGAAATTTTCTACTTCTTCTTGACCTAATTCTTAGGATTGCCAGAATTCATCAACTAACAGACTTCCAACCAGCTCAGGGTCTCAGGCACAAAGAAACCAGGTGCTTAGATCCTCTTGGGAGTGGCAGTGTCTTAACCCGACAGAAACTGCCTGGAACAGCACCATCGCTCACTCAGGTCAGCTTTTAAGATTGAACCATTCCCCCAACTTACTTGGTTTTACTGTCAGTCTGGTCCCTGCTCCAAAGCGTATGTCATTGTTGTTGTCACAGTAATACATGCTTTAACAAAAACCTCCTGGGGAAACCTTGCAGCCAGCTCCCAGCATGGCAGGGACAAGGAGGAGCAGCACTGACAAGTACCACACCACACACAGTTCCGTTCTTCTTTTCCTACAGGAATGGGGCCATTTTGTCATGCTTCTAGACTGTAAACATGGGCACTTTTCAGTGCACTAAGCACAGTTAGTTGAGACCCCAAATTGGCACACTGGGACGTAATCAGCTTTCAAACAGGTCCCCGAACAATGCATAAACCAATACTGCAAACAAATCATGCCCAGGTACACTATTTGTCTTCAGGGACCACTTTGTATGAGGAACTGCCTGGTGAGATGCTCCAGAACTTCTACAATTTGCATCTTACTCACAGGTTCAAAATGCCCCAACTACTCATCTATGTAATTTCATATAAATTATCATGTATTCATTTCATAATTGCACATAATGAAACATGGCAGTGCTTTGGGGGAGAGGAGTCGGCATTTGTTTATGTTCTTAGAGGGTCAAGGTTTTGCTTTTACTTCACCAATGTTCTAACAAGTTAAGGGTGTAGGATATTAAGCAAGTTTCCTTAGTGTGTCTCCAAAACAGCCATTAGAAGGTCATACTAGCCCACTTCATCCCATTTACACATAACACATATCACTCTGGAAAAGTTATCTGAGTATTCAGGACTCTCTGTTCTCTATTTGAGAGCCCTTTCATTCTGTTGCCCAGAGTGACAAAGTCCTGATGATAAATTAATTCCCAAACCACTGTTCTAAAGGATATACACAAGGTAATAAAGACTGAAGAAGCTTGGAGCAGAGAGGTTCTGTTTTCACAGCTGGAAAGGAAAACCTCTGTAACAGGTATAAAAATAGCACAAGAACTGACTGAATGCAGGTATGTATCCTCAGTGAGATCACCTCCCGCTGGAAGGAAGGAAGGACTACATCCAACCAGGATATCCCCTCTGCAGTCTCCCTTGTTTTAAAGGAACACACAGTTAAGTTACCTCACAGTTTCTGTTACCTACCAAGGGTGACCTGAAGTCTTGTTCCAGTCCCAAAGGTGAGTTTACTGGCAATGCTGGTGTTTACACTGTGAGATGCTTCATAACAGAAACCTGCTGCTTGACTTTCCATCTGGTCTTCCCTCCCTCACTCAGAACTCTCCCCATGATCTCTCCCAGATGGGCAACCTGGGTGAGCCCTCACGGATTCATTTCCCTTCCCCAAACTCCACAGTATTAATTCCTATGAGGGCAGCAGGGCTCTGGCCAGATACCCACTTGACTAACATTACCTGCTGGTTGCCCTTTTTGACCTCAGTTGATCATGGGGTGCTGACTAGATGGTTAAGGCTGAGGAGCTGTCAGGTTCAATTCTGAAGACATTGAGAGTTGAATTCTTTGTCCTTTCTCTTTCTGAGTTTTATCTTAATGAATCCCTCTTGTCATACTTGATGAGTGATGGGGCCGAGAAATCAAATGATTAATAACTGTTCTAATTTAAGGTCCCTAAGTCAGGTAGAGAAGAAGGTATAAAGACAGAAAAGGAGAAATGGCCAAATCTCTATCTACACAGCCATTTCCACATTTCCTATGAGAGCAATTTTCGTTGCAAAGGTGCTGCTGGCAAAGTGGCCTCCATATGTTCGTGACCCATCCTAAGCTCATATCTTTTGTCTGCTGGCATCCAGATTTTCCAATGATGGACTCCCACTCAAACACAGTTGACAAAGGGCAGATCTCAGGAGCCCTCCAAAGCACAAACTGCATCACCTCCTTCTCTACATGGCTCAAAACTTCCCATGTACTTAGGACAGTGCCAACAATAGTAGTGACACCAGAAGCACATAAGCCAATGTCTAGAAATGCCCCCATGAGGACTGTATTTTGAACCGCACCTCCCAGGCAAAAGCACTTACAGGGCTGGACGATTAGACGAGTCCCTTTGCCAAAGGTGAGTCTGTCAGCACTTCCTCCTGAATACGCACCCTGGGCCAACCCTTTACGTAAACCCCTCTGCCAGAAAAACTCATGCCCTGAACTTCCCAGAACCTCCACAGCTGCTCTGAAACCCACAGACACCAGGTACAGCTAATAGCCCTGGTCATTGCTACTGGTCACTTCTCGCTCTCCTCTGTTGCTGGCATAAAAGCTTGAAACACACATAACCAGAGTAAGGGCCCTGGAGATGATGACTTCAGTTTCTTGACACACTGCCAACCAACTGCCTCACTGTTGGTTTCTTGATGAGTGTGGACCTGGCCACATGACCCTCATGTAGGAGAGATGGGAAGAATGGAGGGCCCTTAGCCACAAATATTAAAAGGAGTATGAAAAGACACCACGGTTTGTTGATCTGGAATCCAAAGGAGGACAACTCAAATGTCAGGCTAGAACGAATAATAGGAAAAGGCATAAAGATCTTACTTTCTGCTCAGACTTACTGGGCCTAACTGCTAAACGAGTCCCGGTCCCAAAAGTCAGCTTATCTCCGCTGCTTTTCTTCTCACTGCTGTCAGCAGCTTTACAGAAACAGGGCAGACACCTGTCACCAGTGTCTCCTCACCAACCCGTCTACCCAGGCTTCTTCATGACACTCATCCCACAAATGCCCTACAAAGTCCAGCAGTGTGTAGCTTTTCTTACACATCTCTAAGTCGCAGGCTCAGGATAAATCTCTAAGCTCAAAACTACAGATTGAGGTTTCCATTTTGGAAGTCTAGACACCCAAATAGCAAGCACTGTGGTCCACAGAGATGCTGACAATTTTTTTTTTTTCAAATTTAACTGAATTTTAAAACTGTGGGTCTCACCAGTGAATGAATGTGATAAATGCTCTCAAAAGCAACACATGGAAATTCTTAATGAATCACACTAATGAAATGTTTGTGTTGCACCTGGAATTTCACTTTTCCTTTCTTTAGAATCAAATACTTCTCAGCCAGAAAAAATTTATTTAATATGCAATGAAACCCAGGTTGGGACTTGAGTGTGTTTTATACTCACAAGGCTTGACTCTCAGAATGGTTCCTGTGCCGAAGATCAGCTTGTTTCCATAGTCCACACAGCATCAAACTCCTCTACAAAAACAGTGGTTGAGCGTGGGTAGTGTGTGGGGTGGGGCCAAGTTACTTGGTTCTGGAAACAGAGGACTGTTCCACTTTGCATTTAGGATCTGTTGATATTTGCCCAAGAGTCTGAAGACATTGTAATAATTGCAGGAACTTGTAAAAGTAAAAAGGCCAATTGTTTATTGGAATTTGGCTTCCGTCTGCTCTTTGCTGCTTGGACTAGGGTAAATGCTACAACTCCCCCAAGGTTTACTGTATCTTTTCTTTCAGGATTTTTCTAGTCCTCTAGCCAGAATCTTCTTTCATCTCATGAATTCTAATCATAGCCCCTTGTTCCAAATAATTCCATTCTGCTGTGATGTCCTCTAGTTTCAAAACCCTTAGCAACTACAGCTTCTGGAAGCACGACTTGGAAAACAAACTTGTTATAGCTGGCTTCCAGGTAAAGTTTTTAAATATTTGGGGCTCTGGTTTAGAGCCCTCTGACTGTCCCTTGCTGGGTAGGACATTCTTATGCTGAGTTGCTCTTAGTAGCAGTGGGATTTTTCCCTGCGTGTGTTACGTTCTCACCTGGGGACAGTTCCCTGAACGGTTGTGGCTACTATAGCACCTGTGGGAGGCAGCAGACTGACCGTCACTGGGTCCCTCCAGGTCCCACGGCTCAGCTCTGCTGCAGTCTCACTTTGTAAGTCTGGAACTCTCTGAGCCCCCTGTCCTTAGATACAGGGTGGGAAAGACTGTTTTCCTATCTTATCCAGAGAGAAGAAAAAGACTTTGATGTTTAAAGGTGCTTTATCCAAGCTAGCTGAGAGGTGCTTTGTAATGTAATTGTCACTATAAAAGTCTGACCTACCCAAATCCTCAATATTCATGCCTTTAATTTCTAATGCAGCAAAACATAAAAAAGATTATTCTAGGCAACTGAGTGGTTAAGACAGAAAGGTTCCATACCTCCAGTTCTCGCTCTTGGAAGTGTGCTTTCTGTTCTATTTTGTGTGGTTGTCTTTGATTATGAAGTGAACATATTCAACTTTTCCACAGCTTTTAATTGCAGGTGCAAAAGAATCTATTTGCCCATGTTTCCCACATTCTTCTACCCTGTGTATATATATCCAGTATCTATCTATCTATCTATCTATCTATCTATCTATCTATCTATCTATCTATCTATCTATCTCAGAAATAGTTGTTTTTAACAGTTAATTCTGTGCCTCACCCAAATTGTCATTAACTAAATGCAGATGTCCTGCCACACTAATAAACTTCATTGGAAAAAAAGAAAAAATCAAACCCAGAGATTTCCAAGTTTAAACTTTCCCCTTGAGATCAGTGCTTGGTGTTCTATTTAGATAATCCTGCCCCGCCCAGAGCACTAGCTCTTAGCACCTTTCCAGATACCTTGCCATTTGCAGAGAGAGACACAACACTGAATTAGTTTTGTAAAATTATACTGCCTGACGTTCCGTCTGCCTGCCTCTCTGGGTCTCTTGGTTTGCTTGTCTCTTTGATATTCTATGTTTCTACCATTTCTCCCAAATACTTCCAGTACTCAAAGTTAAAACTATCACACAAGATAAAAGTGAAGATGCAGTCATTCTGCCTGAATTCTCTTCACATGCCACATTAGCACTTGATGGCAGCAGCAAAAACAGAATTGTGAAGCATTTTTTCTAGTTTTGAATTAAATAGTCAGGACTGGAGTTCCCCCGGAAAACTCAGATATTTGGTTGCTGCCTGTCTCTACCAGTTCTGAACAAGGAGAGATGAAAATTCTGTAAGCCCACATGTCTACTATGACCCCCAGAATCTTATGCAGCCTGATTTCCTGACCAAGGATGAAGAACTTACTGGGTATAATGGTGAGTCTTGTTCCAGTCCCAAAGGTTAATTTCTCATTTCCAAAGTTAGACACACAGTGTTCTAAGTCATTACAAAAACCATCACTCTAAACTCTCCAAACTCTACTGCAAACCCCTGCCCCATTTCTTGTAAATCTCCTTCCTGCAATGCTTCCACGACATCAAAGGCACCAGTGACCCTTTCCTACCATTTCCTGCTGGACAACTGAGAGAAACTAGAATGAACGACTGTAATTAGGAGAGGCTTGACATGTGCGATCTCTTTTGATTTTCCTGCCACATTTTTCTTCAGAGAGAAACAGAAATCCTCTTTCTCTCTCCACGTGGTATCTATCAGTGCATCCCCCAGGTCTAAATACAAGAGTGAGTGTGGACCCCCCTGCCATCTTTCTCATCCCTTTACACCATCCCATATTCGGTTTTCTGTAAAGTCACCTCATTTCCCTTCTAGCCTCCTAGTCCCTCTCCTCTCAGTTGGGAATGTCCCTCCATTCTCTGCTCCTGAGGCTTGTGCCACAAAGGGCCCAGCTTTTCTGGTTGGCACAGATGTGGGGGTGACCTAGAGAGGCCAGCTATCACTGCAAGTGACATCGCCTGCTCCCCCACTTCAGGAATGTTCAAGGAACATTCTCTGGGTTTGTTTTTTTTGTTTTCTTCCAATGAAGTTTATCAGTGTGGCAGCACATCTGCATTTAGTTAATGACAATTTGGGTGAGGCACAGAACTAACTGTTAAAAACAACTATTTCTGAGATAGATGATAGTTAGATAGATAGATAGATAATAGATAGATAGATAGACACTTCAAGGAGTGAAATAAGGACCTGTCCAAGCATAAATCATTCTCAGGTGTGGGGGCGCCTCTTTACTCTGGTCCACATAAAGTTATACCTAGAAGCAGAGAAATAGAGTAGCAGACTTTGACAGCTGTTTCTGCAATTTCAAGGGTTTGCTCAACACAATGGTGATGGAAAATTTTCTTTGACTTACTTGGAATGACTGTCAAACTTGTCCCTGTCCCAAAATACAACTGGTTACCGGTGTTCCACTGTGATAGGAAGCTCAACAAAAACCAGGCAGAAGAGACAACCAGAGCTTACACCTGGGGCCCCGCCAAGCGACGGACCAAAAGGCAGAGACCGGCAGGCAGGCAGGCATCTCCTTCCCCTGTGCAGGAGCAGGAGCGAGGGTATTACTGGCAAGGAGCTTCAGGGCTTAGAGCAGCTGTGACCATGTGCAGCTGGAGGGACTCATTCCTCCTGAGAGGGGATTAAAAGGAAGGCTAATGTGCATCTTGTGTGGCTTGCTGTCTAATTAAAGGTGTAGGTCCATTTGTTTTATGCTCGGGCATTTAAAAAATTCTTTTTCTTTTAAGACTTAATTTCTCTCCTGATGATCATATGATTCTGAAGTGGATTTTAATCAGGACTCCTTATTACATCTTTGGACTTTATTTCTTTGTGAACCTTATGGAACAATTCATCTTCTCTAGATTAACCCCGTATGGGGCTCTGATCACCTTGCTTCTTTCTGACCTGCCTCATTTCCCTAGCACCCCCATCATGCAATGTCCATTGCTTATTCCCTCACCTCTGTTTATCCCCCATGTGCAGTGAGAACGTGCTGACAGACCACAGGTTGTTTTTCAAATTGCCACGTTCAAGTCCCATGTTATCTATGCTACCTTTTAAGGACTAAACCTATATTTGCTATTATGTGACCTGTTTTTCTGATCGGAGTCAGTGTATCTTGATTCTCTCAATTTTGTGTCCTCAACCACCATGCCATCTGCAAAGCCATTTAAGCCCTAATGCATGATACTGTTAGCCCCACCGCACTCCACAGGCAGCATCCCAGGGAGACTTACTTGGAATGACTGATAAGCTTGTCCCCCGCCCAAACATCAGCTTGTTGTAGGAGGTTGTCACACAGCCATCCAAACCTTTACAATAACTGACAGGTGGCTCTCAAAGATTTCAGAGCCCAGTCTTTCTTGATGCCATTTCAAAAGGCATCTCAGGTACCATTTGGCATTACCTATAGGATCTGTGAGTTGGAGCTACAGTGAGGCCAGATTCTGTTGGGAATGGTAGGAAACTTGCTAGGATTATATGCAATACATACTTCTTCACCTTTGTGTCATTACAATTTCTCATATGCTGCGGGTTTTAAAAAGCATCATTGAACTCCCTGTCTCCTCCTCCCTTCTCTATTATTCCCCAATTCACACAACATCCCCATCTGCATCTCATTTCCGTCTCTAAGCCCTAGCTTGGTGACACCAGGTCCTCAGGCACCATTGATCTGCTTTCTCTGAGACAGCATATGCTCACCGGCTCACGTGATTAAAGAAGTGGAAATGCCAGGCTCTCAGAGGCTGAGATCTGGGCTCCCAACTCCTTATCTTTGGTCAATATATTGTTCTCATTTGTCTGCCTAATGAAGAGCTGACCTTTCTAAGTGGATGCATTTTGCTGAAATGACAACTGCCAGAGAGCTAACAACAAAGGCCGAGCTCTGAAGGCAGTTTTGGCCTTTCAGATCCCTTTGGCATATTTCAGTCAATAGGATCCTCAGCTCAAATGTCAGTCTCTTAATGTTGGCTCCCACACCACTGGGCCTGGAGAAACTCAACAGAAAATGGGCAATATTGGTCCAACCTGCACCCTGCTCATTAGAACCAGACTTCACTTGGAGGCATCTCACACATTCAAGATGATCACAACAACTCAATATTCAGCCTTGTAGTGGCACCGGCATATTCCAAATCCACACCCACCTGGCATGAATTTATGCTGCCACTGAATGGAGCAGATACAGGTGGCAATGTCAGGTGGCCTCCTCCATGCACACTGAACTGGGATTGTACTATCTGCCTGACCAACTATGCCTGCCCAAAGGCAGCTACTCCAGAAATATAGGGACTTGACTCATCCCTTTGGCATAAGAGGACACTGCCCTTGATAGCAATCCTAGGAAAACAGAGTGTTCTGTAATAGCAACTGGAGTGATGACATCCTTCTCTGACACCCACCTCCCATCTCAGTCTTATCACGCTGCAGTGAAAAGCATATTCCTGCTTTTCAACTTTGTTTCCCTTTCTGTCTCTTATTCCTTTCATTT